CCCCTGTCCCCATTCCCCTGTCCTCAACTACAGAATGCTGTCCTGATTCCCGTCCCCACTCCCCAAACTCTGTCCCCAGCTACAGAACTGTCCCCACTCCCCTGTCCCCACTCCCTGAATTCTGTCCCCATTCATGTCCCCACTCCCCGAACTCTGTCCCCACTGGCACTCTGTCCCCTGCTGCAGAACCCTCTGCCCTCCCAGCACCCTGTTCCCTCTCCCCTATCCCCAGCCACAGAACTCTGTCCCCACAAAATGTATAATTATAAATGCTTCATTTTAGATTTAAATAGCATGAATAAAAAACAGACCATTTATTTCATAACTATAAACACGTGATTTTAATTGTATGTATCGCATAATTTAAAAATAAACTGTTTATCAGAGTGTGTAAGTAAGGGCTGGGGATAGCAAGTGATGGACAGGAGGAGAATAGAGAGGGCGGGGCTTCAAGGAAGGGGAGGGGCGGTAGATCTTCACCTGTTCTGAGATTTAAAAAGTGATCTTGGGTGTAAAAAGGTTGGAGACCACTGCTCTAGATATACATATAGATATAGATATATTGATATACACACACATACATACAGATTAAGAAAAGAAAGTACAAAGTACATCTAAAAATGAAACAATAATATATTCTTCTTTTTTGTACTTTCTTTTTCCCCTTAAGGTGACCGCTTCCTGGCTGCAAACTCATAATGAGGCAAAGTTCCTCAGCATTTGTACCTCTTCCCCCAAAGCGGGTTTGCCAGACCTACTAATTTCTCCAGGACCTGAACACCCTCCTTTTAGCTAGTGGATCTCTCCTTTGCCCCAGGCTCTCAGCCTTACCAGTCACTCTAGCCTTACCAGTCACTCTAAACCTGGCTTGATGGCCAAAATGAAACTACATGTGAGAGTCCCTTCCTGTTATGATTTAGCAATTTCTTGGCTGTGGACTCCCATTTCTGGGCAAACAGGAAGTCATATGTTGTAGGTCTGTACCTGAGAAAACCAGACCTCAGTAGGGGGGAAAATCCCATATAAAGTAATGATAAAGTATTTATAAAGGGTTCTTTCAAACAAAATCAGTAATTTTAATTTGCAGAGATTACTCGGATTGTAAAAGTGTATTCACAGAACATAATTACACTTTAAAGTACTTTTTAGCCTAAGTTAATTCAAAATAGATAATCTAAATGTTTTTAAAATGTATATAAAAATACACTAAGATATTTCTTGCTACATTGAGTTAGGTAAAATTGGCAAATTGCATACATTAGCCTGCAAGTGCCTATCCAGATCATACCATGCTAGATGTAAGCCATGTGTGGTAAAGAAAGCTATATCCTGTCATCATAGATGTTTGGGCAGGAACCATACCCAGTGAGTATACTCTGAAATTGGACGTTATTGTGAAGACTGAATGGCAATAGTTCTCAAGCTTCTTAGCTTGTGGCCCACCCTGCTAAACACAGACCTTTCCATAGACCACCAGCCAACCACCTATGGTGACAAAATGGGTTCAGGTGAGTGTGGGGGGGTCCAGGGTCTGGCAGAAAGGTAGGATGCTGGAGTCAGCTGGGAATGAGGGGTCCGACCAGGAGGCTGGATGTAGGAATGGAGTGGAGGTGGGGATTCTCAGTAGGAGGGTGTGTGTGAGAGAGATGAGGGTGCAAGGTCTGGGCATGAGGAAGATGAGGGGCACTTACCTGGCTCCTTGACTCCCACTACTCCCAGGCTGAGCCCCCTGATGCTCCCATTGGCCATGATTCTGGGCAATGGGAGCAGAGGGAAAGCCTCCAGAGTAGTGATTTCCTGTGCTGCTGTTTCCCCAGCTGGGAGGAATGGGAACATTAATTCACAAAGCCACTTCCTTCCCCCAAAGCTGGAACAGGCCTGTGAGGCCTAGCCTGCTCCCATTCCCCACAGCGAAAGCCGTTGCTGGTGCTTCAACCTTGCAGAGGGGGTGCAAGGCTAGAGTACCAGTGCAGGTTCTTTGCTGTGGGGGGAAGGGAGGTGAGCCCCAAGCCTGCAGCCTACCTGAAAGAAGGTTGTCCACAGACCACACTTTGAGAACCACTGCTGTAATTGTGAACACCTGTCTGGCTGTACATCAATGTAAGCATGAAAGAAAGGCAGGATCTGTTAATAGGGACACAAAAGTTAAACAAACTATCTTTGTTTTAATCTTAGTAGTAAGTGTAGTTCAAAGATTCTTAGCAAAATTTTCTCATTAATGCCTGTAAATGATTGCTCTGGTATAACAGCTTTTCCTGGAGTGAAGCTAGAGTTCCAACTTGCTGAGTATATTGGCCCAAATATTGTAGGTATGCAGCCTGTCAGCTGGATGACATACTCACTACAGGTGTGTAAATGGGAAAACTCAGCTGAGACACTTGGAAGTCTCTGTTAAAGGCAAAAAAAAGTTGGTGAGATTAATGAAAAAAGAAAAGGGTACCTTTGTCTAGTGGCAAGTAACTCCCTTGGGTCTTGCAACTAATGTGGAAGATAAAGTCTCCAACAGTAAAAAAGAACCTGAAGTATCCAAAGTAACTGTCTGAGAGCTGTTACCTCTTGAATACCGAAGTGCAGTCACACCACAAAATGCAAGAATGAAAGCCCAGTTTCTTCCACTCTCTAATTATTTGCTAAAGAGGATAAAAAGTCACCCGTATCCCTGCCCCCAAATAAATAAAATAAATAAATAAATAAAAGCTTGGGAAAATAAATGTTTCATCTGTGTAAGCATAGGACCCTCCCCGAGAGTCAGATTGTTGATACAACTGCATGAAATCTATACTAGAAAAGTTCAAAAGAAAATGGGCAGAAGATTAAAAATTCTGCACCAAAAAATTAAAAACTCAGTGCACAATATTTTAAAATTCTGCCAAATTCTGCAAATTGTATTTTGTCAAATACATGTGGAGGCTCCAATATGGCAGTGAGGAACACAGGTCCCTGGCTTCACAGAGGTGAGGAGGTCACTGTGAAGCTCCCTGGCTTTCAGGACACAGATTCAAGGAATGAGGCTGCACCCAGTCCCGATACAGCACAAGGACTGGACCTGCCCCAGAATCACCCCATGGCCCTGCCCCTCTGACCCAGGGAAACCACATGGGTGGGCAGGCTCAGTAAGGCAGGATCCAAGTTTGAAGGGGTGTAGTGTGGAGAGACTCAAATATGGGTTGAGAGGGCTCTGTGTGGGGTATTCTGAGTGCAGATGACTCCATTAGGGATCTGGGTATGTGTGGGGGATCTGGATGCACAGGGACTTGTTGAAGGGTTCTGGGCGCAATAGAAATGGGACTGTGTGAGAGGGGTCCATGGGAAGGTGGTTAAGGCTTAGCGAGAGAATCTTGGCATGGGGCGGATTGAACTTGGTCAAGAGGTTGGAATATGGGGAGGCTCAGTAGGGGCATAGGTCTTGCCCAGTCCTACCCCCATCCCTGAGTGATTTATCTTTCTGCCATTTATCTGGGGAGAGCCACATGACCACATTTCTGGCTTTCCTTTTTCTGCAGGAAAGCAAAGAATTCTGCGGGGGACATAAATTCTGTGCGGTAGTGCAGAACTCCCCCACGAATAACAGCTATTCCAGTTTGGAGGATATTGCTGCTGTGCAAGCTGTCTGAAACCCCAGCCTTCAATTCATCACATAGGCATCTTTAGAGAAGAATGGCATGGAACATAGAGTGAAACATTTAGTGCCAATTGCCAATTCAATTGCTACCATCTCAGATCAAAGCAGTTAGCAGAGTGCTTGGTCCAAACATAAAGAGAGCAACAGAAAAAGGGAGAGAGCTGCTTTTTTTTTTCCACGTTACTGTAGAACTCTTGAAATAACAATGCAGGAAAACACAATTGAATTGCTTTTCAAAAACTGGTTTTAAAAAACTAGATTTCCCTTAATATCTTCAAAAGGAAAGCAATTTCAAGAAAACAGACAGGCAGAAAAATGTGAAAATCCACATACTGCTAAACAGGTGTTTAGCAAAGATTACAGGGGAGTAAGTAGAACAGTGTATAATAAAAAAGGGTACTTGAATTAAGTCTGTATCTGGTGATTATAAATAATTAAGTGATGGGGGTGTCTATAAATCAGGCATTGCTGCTTTAGAGGACTGAACATTAAAAGGAGTCACATACTTTGGAAACATGATTGTCTAGTGAAACTTGCCAAGGAACCATTTGGCTTGTGATTCAGAGGACCTGAAGACTTTCAGCAGTCTCTCTCAATTATTGGGCCTACTTCAAAGTTCTTCAGCAACAACAGACTGTTACAAACAATGCTGTCCATCTAATAGCCCAATCTTGTAAGATATTGACTGAGTGCCCCTGAAGAGTTGGCAGGACTTAGCACTTCTCACGAGCTCCTCAGCTTCTTAAAAGAGAGGACCCTGCAAAAGGAAACAGAAAGTGGCCTGAGACAGAGTGTCTGACAAGAAGGAAATGAGGAAAGCATTTTTTATACATATAGAAGGTATTGTTTACAGAGGAATGTGAAGTAGGTGCCGACTTTGCACAATATTGCAATCCAACAGCAGAGGGGTTAAAGCTCTGTTGAGCGTGAATGCACATGGGCTTCAAGAGTATTACATGTGGCTGCTGTTTCTTTGGGATCAAAATTGTTTACACTATAATCTGCTTGCACCTGCAGATTGCTGCAGTTTTGTCTGCTGTTCAGTGCTTCCTGAGAAGCTGATAATTCACATGGCTGATTAAGCTGCTGTTTTGATCTCTTCCTCTTTGGAATCTCTTCTAGTGTGTTTAATAAAAAGCCCTATTAAGAAAGTACAAGTGGGTGCTTTGTGCTTCTTCAACACCTAATTTACTATTTTTAACATTAAATACTCCATCACATGTCCTGAATTTGATTATACATATTGTGTTTAACATAATAGCTTCTTGCTGCAGATTTACACACGTTCTTTAACAAGTATTTCCAACCAAGAATCCAGGCTGCAATCTTCCCAGAAGTATTCTTCGCCTATCCCAGATCTTTGTATTATTAACTAAGAGACATAATGGAGTGCCATCATTCACATTAAGGGTGTTAAACAACCTGCTTAGGCTTTGCTGTATATATAAAATATATATCAAATAGAGAAGGAGAATGTGCATTCAATTTAGGCCACAAAATACGAAAGGGCAAATCTGCATAAAATTAGGAGCAAACAGCACCAGTTGATTTCATTGAGGGTCATAAATGAATGTGGTCCAAATGAAGTGGGAGAAAAATGTTACTCAAAATCCCTGAACTATTTTTAAATCACAAGGGGTAACAAATTAGCATTAGTTACCCTTAGGTGCTTTCATTTGAGTGACCAGTGCAGCTATCACTCAGCATAAAACATTGATCTCACTGACTCTGGCAGAATTATAGAGGGCTTGTTTCTGTGATCTATTGTTGAACAATTTATCTGATGCATTAATCATATCTGAGATACTGGATTTGGATTGCAGATTTTCCTTTTTAGATCTCTTTCCTCCAGTGTACACATTTACTGAGCTCGTGAAAAAAAATGAAATTACATTTTCAATGTTTATGTTTCACTTTCTATTAGCTCATTTTGTGGTATTTTAGGATGAATGATAAGAGTACAAAAATGTTTGCACTATTCTTAAATTCAATGACTCCTGAAGCAATAGAGAACAAGGGCTAATATTTATTTCCTTTCTCTGACAGCAATTGTGTTTTAGAGATTGATTTATCCTCATCTTGGCAAAGAAAGATCAAGCACGTTCCCTTCCCAAAATTCCAAATGGTGTACCTTGGAGGGAGCGGAGACAGGAGGATTAGGAGATTGAGGGCATTCGTGTGGTTTACAGACTAAAGTGGCTATTTTACCCATTCCGTCAATCCTGTTGAAATCCTACTGGAATTCCATGTAGCCAATGCAGATATCCAGCTGCAAAGATCTTTTAAATAAAATTGAATACAACACTTATCTGGGGTTAGGAAATACTTAGATTTGAAGCTAATGTAAGAATAATCAACCCTGGTCACAAAATGATGTTCAATACAGTGACAGGTGCCCAGTTAATACCCGCCTATGCAGATGGCTAATGCAGTTTTAAATAACTGTTTTTCTACTGGACTTTAAAATCAAATTCCATAGGTCCTTTTTTCCTTTTGGGTGGAAAATTAAGATTTCAGCAACTGTGAATTAAACCTTAGCATTATTGATTAATCAGTGAAGACAATATGCCACCAGTCTGACGCACATAGCAACTTTGCCAGGCCACAGGAAGGTTCTAAATCCTAAACCTCCCTGCACCGCACCACCAGGTCAGGGCAAACTTACAGTGTGAATTAGTATTGATCTGTTTCAATCAGAGCTATGCTGATTTACGCCAGCTGAGGATCTGATCCTAGATATTCATGATGTTCAGAGTGCCATTGGAATGCATTTTACCGGATTTTTTCCCCTCTTTGCTCTGCTCTCCAGTGCAGATCCTCCGTCATTGCACACACACAAGTCCCATTGCAGTGAATGGGAATTAACCTGCATGACAGATCCAGCATGAGAGCATGAGGCTCTTAAAGGATGACCCCTGCCCTCCAGTGTTACCACTCCCTCTGATGTTGTCCTCCCTATTCACATTCCCTGTGTGACACAGCCTTACACATAGAGATGGACACTGTAACTCCTGTGTAAGGAATTTATTTTTTTCTCAGTACCCCAATAAGGACTTTATAAACATGTCATTGTGTTTTAACTAGAGTGATTTTCAAAGACATTGAAGAGGACCATTCTTCTTATTCCTCTGAACGTAATTACAGCAGTGAATTCATTTTTTATTACAAGCTGGAGTTTGCATAGAAAATTTTCAGCCATTCATAGGTACAAAATACACTAGTCTTAGCCTGAAACAATTGCACTAAACTAAAGCACTACACCCTCTTTTCTAGATCTACTTTTAAGATCCCTGTCAAAACAGCCCTTCAAACACATTTGATTGGGTTGGGGCTCATCACACTGTCACCAACTCACTTTTCATTAGGCTGTTGCTCTCTGTTAGCCTAGCCAAGCAGAAGAACTCAAACACATGCACAAATTAAATCGACATCCAAACTCCACCAATATACAAAGCAATTTAAATGATATTCATTAGAGCGATGACAAGTCCTGATGAGGCTTTCAGGAGCTGAGTCCTTCAGCTTTTGCCGACTCGGTTTCATGGTCATTGAGGCGTAACTGCAGTGACTGTACCTCTAGTTTAAAAAAAAAAAAAAGCACTGAGAATATGACTCTGCTTCCTGACACACCTACCTCATTCTCCATCTCTGCACAGGTTTAAATCTGGAGACATTCCTTGTGCTTTTATATCTGTATCTATAGGCAGATACACATAGATATAGATATATAAAATTATCTTCCTTTTCCCCACCCTACTCTCTACAAATGCATCAATTAAAAAGAATTTCATTTTCAAGTAATTTCATTTCTCTTGGCTAGAAAGGTCACTCACTCACAATTATTATGGCTATAAACATGTCTCTAGTTTCCTACCGGGCAAAAAATGAATGTGATATGTTGGAGCTTAATAAAGACATATTTTAATTGTTAATTTATTAAAAAAAGTAAAAAGTGTTACCCCCCTTTTTTTGGATAAAAAAGATGGACATTCTATCCTCTCCGGGGACTAGTGTAGGGCTGACAGGTCTAATACAGGCTCTCCCTCTGTGCTAAATCATTGAAATTCAATTCTCCTATGACCAAAGCCCTAGCATTCAGGTATCAAAATGTAAGAAACCAGAAAATTAGCCCAGTTTTGTGTTACCATGTCGCTTTACCACTCTGAAAGTTCAAATGTTTCATAGTAAGAATGTGTAACCTCATTCTAATCTGACTGTAGGAAAATCTAAGTAGTGAGAGGAGTGACAGATAATCCTCTTATCATAGTTATAGAAGACTTATCCAGCTATATGTGAAGAGATGGCCCCCTATATGCTATATGTTGTAAAATACAGATGAGATGTCTCTTTTACCAATCTGCCTCTATCCAGAACAGTTTTGTATCTTTTTTAAAAAGCCAAGTGTCCCTTAAAAACTGATTGCTAAAGGGATGGTATGTTATATTGTTACCCAAAAGGAATGGTTTGTTATGCCTTGCTCAGGTGGTAATTAAAAAAACAAAACAAAACAGAACAAAAACTTGTTTTTTATCCATTTGCTTACAAGGACACCTAAAATGAAGGATAGGCAAATTTTTATAGAACTAAAATATTCTATGCATCTTCAGTTACATATTTTGGATACATACAAGGGTGCATGAATGTAGGTAGCTAATGGTGTAGGCACATCACCATCTATCTTAAAGTGCACATCTAAATTTAACTCTCGTAGAAGATTATTTAAGCTGAAGCACATTTTCAGTTATAAATAAGGCAAAGGAAACACAGTGAACTAAGCAACATCTGTTGCAAACATTAAAAATGTCCCAGGTAAATGTTGTAATCTATTGCTTAAAAAAGAAAACAACAAAATCCCTCTCTAATGTTTGTTTCTCTATACTCATTATTTTATATATTCAATATACCAAAAGATACATTGTAGGTGTATAAAGTAAAATTTTATACCACTCTCATCACCATGGTATCTGCAACTATGTTTAATTTGTGGATGTATGAGAGTATGTATAAAACCATTCAATGAAATGTAAATGATTTCTGTTGCACTAAACAGTTTTAAATTACTGCTTAATACCAAGATCTTAAAATGTCTTAGCCTCACTGTACTCTCCTGCTTCATGCACATAGATTTATCATGTATTTACTGATTCATTACACACACACACACACACACACACACACACACACACACACACTCAAAATTTGCACACATAATAGAGAATTTTACTCCCTCTCATAAAGGGCACTACCTCGTCAGTCCTTACTTAGTAAAAGGAGGCACAGACTTACCTGGGAGTTTTCCCCAACATCAGAGTTGCACACATGCAAGATTTTTATTACTTTATAACAGTTAATGAAAACTCAACGGAATTGACAGACTGTTACCATTTTACCACACCCTGAACTTCAGAACCTCTTTTATATTCAGAGAGGGCAGTAGGATAATTATATCTTGTTCACTCATTTACCTACACCCTGTCAACTAAAGGCTGGAAGGCACAACTTGGCATAAAGTCTCAAGAGAGGAGAATTTACTGGTTTCCTTTAGCCAAAGATTATATATATTTACTAATAATACCCTAGGGAGATAGATACAGGTTAATGCTTCTAATACCAAAGGAATAGCTGTCCAGTCAAATACAATTGATTATTTCAATGCTCACTAAAAGACAAATACAATGACTTTTAAAATATTAAATAACTTTGGAATCTTTTTTTTAGTTTTATGACCATTTCCTGTACTATAACATAAGCTACATCAGTTCTGCTGAACAGTGTAGATATCAGAATATTTAGTAAAGGACTAATATAGTCTTACAATAAAAAGCTACTAGCATGAAGCAGGCAAAATAATTGTATTATTTTGATATTTACTAAACAACTTACTGAGATCCCCAGAGACAAGTTTTAAAATGCAAAACTTAATAAATGTAGCTGTTCCCATCACCTCATTTCCTCTCATGCTACATAGAAAATTAATGAAGTACTCTGTTGCAGTTGAATGTAGCTTTCAAATGAAACCTCGCAAAATTAAAGGAGCTGCTTTAGTTTTACATGTATGTATAATTTTTAAAATGACCTGATGATACAAACAGCAGAACCTCTGTTGCCATGAAATGTATATACATATCTAACTTTTAAAAATATCATTAACTATTTATTAACATTCATATTAAGATGCCATTGATAATCCCAACAGAGTGAATATTTAAGTTTTTAAACACTAATCTGTTGTGCTTTGGTTAGGAAATTGCATTGTAGCATGCACAGTGAAAGCAACTATATAATTTGAACAACACATCTTCAATTTTTGATGCCAAAATAAAATAAAATGAAGATGCTGAAGAGATTCAGGTTCCAGTAAGAGTTCTTTGCACGAACTTAAAAATAATATTTCAGTTAATTATAGATCTCTTGATGCTTAAAACTTAAAGATACATTCACTGATATTTTTGCTCAATGTTGACTCCAGAGAACAGCTCTCTAAGATCTGGCAGCATATTGATTTCTTGTTGTGAAGTGAGCTGTTCAAGCTCCATTTAAGATTTTCATCTTGCATGTAGCCCTGAGCACATCATAGCACCATAAATTAGTTAAATTGCACATTTATCACAAATGTTATTTTAAGATACTGCGTAAATGTGATAGCTGGAAGATATACAGTATGCTGCAACAAGCCACTACTTGGGTGGGGTTAGACCAGGGTCACCTTTATACACCTGTGATTTAAAGCTCTTCCCACCCCACCACAATTTCATTTAAAAGCCCTTTCTCTAGGCATTTTGTTATCACACTTGATCTGCATAATTCTAAAACTAGATAAAATATTAGAAGCAAAGCAAAAATTAGGTACTCAAATGTAGTTGAAAACCTTGAATTTTTATCTTCATGTCTAACGTGGGGAAAAAATCTATGCCAACAGAGATAGGCTG